TAAGTCTACTGCTATTGCTAAGTCTACTGCTATTGCCCACACCTATAATGCAATGCCCCCTGCACATGCATGCACGCCCCCATGGTCCCCTTACCCCTGTGCATGCATGCGACCTGCCTGTGCTCCCCACGCATGTGCGCAACTCCTCTGCACCCCATTTTGGACGTAGCAGACCTCCCTGAAGCCTCCTGGGACCAAAAATGGGCCATGGGGGGGGGAAGCACTGGACCCCCTTGCAGTCCCCCCATTTTTGTGCATGTGTGCACGACCCCCCCTGCCCCCATACATGCACATGCGTTTCCTGCATGAGCGGCAGTGACCCCAAAATCAGCTGGCCAGTGGGAGACGTACGCGCATGCACGGTGGAGCTGAGCTGGGTGACAACTCTCATGTCCTCAGACAGGGATCCGCGTGCCACTTGTGGCACATGCGCAATAGGTTCGCCATCATGGCCCTATAGCCTTTCAGACGAATGGTTGTCCAGTCTCTTCTTAAAAATGTCCACTGTTGGAGCCTTCACAACTTCTGGAGGCAAGTTGTTCCACTGATTAATTGTTTTAACTGTCGGGAAATTTCTCCGTAGTTTTAGGTTGAATGTTCTTGTAGACATTCAGAAGGTATCAGGTCCATTTTTAAAGAAGGTACACTGAGGTTGGGCTGTAGAATTCGGCATATGAAGAATACCTGTTTTCTGATTTTTTTTTTAATAGACAAGGTTTTTTTTGAGTGTCCAATAAAATGTACTGTCCTTTGGAAAGTGCTATGACTTCCATGCTTTGTTGTTGGTGTCTTGCACCAGCAGTTAGTGTGTAACACCAATATTGTTTTCTTTATTTTAATATGATGTAGGGATCGTTATAGGCTAATCATAAGGAAATCTATACTTTGCACAGGTAATCCTTGACTTACACAGTTAATTTAATGACCATTTAAAGTTACAATGGCACAAAATAGTGACTTGTAGCTATTTTTCACACTTAAAACCATTGCACTATCCCCATAGTCACGTGATCAAAATTTAGACACTTTGCAACTGGCATGTATTTATGACGGTTGCAGAGTCCCGGAGTCACGTGATCACCGTTTGCCACTTTTTCACAAGTCAAGTCAGTGGGGAAGCCAGATTTACTTAGCAACCGTGTTACTAGTTTAACAACTGCAGTGATTCACTTAACAACTGTGGCAAGAAAGATTGCAAAATGGTGCAAAATTCACTTAATAACTGTCCCATTTAGCAACAGCTAAATTCTGGCTCAATAAGATGAGAACTACCTGGGATCAGTTCATTCTGTTGTCCAATACCTAGATACCAATCTCTTTCTGTGTGATTTTAAAGGAAGGCTCCTTATCCTGTCTGTAAGATGAGTAATTTCCGTCACTGCTTTCTTTTCAGTGATTTTCCAAATACTAAAATAGATATTGAAATCTTTTCTGCTGCTGCATCTATCAGTCAATAATGTTTCCTTGTCTAGGCTAAACAGACCAAAATTTTAAAAACAGCTTTGCCCTTTGCTGTCCCTACATTGCTTTAAATCTTTTCCACTTGCCAATATTTTCTGAGACATTGTGTGCCCCAAATTTCTAGCAAATTTTAATCAGGTTACGCTAATGTTGAGTAAAATGGCATTATTATTTCCCATGGCTTGACAACCACTACTCAGCCATATGACCTAAAATGGTTTTGGCTTCTTTAATTAGTACATCACTTGGGTGACTCATTTTTCAATATTTTTGTGCACCATAGCTTCTGACTTCAGCTTTGATTAGCTAGTTCTTGGGATTCAATTGTCATTTCCTATATTTAATTTAGTAACTTTTAGTCATGTTGGATTCATCGTGGCCCCAGTTTCTCTCCGGATCTACCACGTTTCCCCAAAAAGAAGACAGGGTTTTATTTTCTCTTGACCCCCAAAATAAGCACTTGGCCTTATTTTCAGGGAGGTCTTATTATTTTTGAGGTGCAGGAGGCAGCGAGCGTGGGCAGCTCATGGCTGCTGCTGTGTTGCAATATTTTCAGGGGAGGGCTTATTTTAACGCATGCGCTCAAAAGCCCGATTAGGCTTATTATCCGGGGAGGGCTTATTTTCAGGGAAAGGGGTACACCTTAACGTATGAGAATAAAGAAGAGTGGCCTGAAATGTTGTCCTTATATAATGTATCCTGAGGGAGAACTTATTGTTATATTTTATTTGTTGATCTTGATTTGTAAAATAAATCATTTATTATTATAATTATTATTTTAACCCTATATAACCCTACAGGGCACTGCACACCAGAACAACTAGACACAAGGATAGTTTCCCCCCCGAATGCAAGCATATGCACCATATTCTATTCTATTCTATTCTATTCTATTCTATTCTATTCTATTCTATTCTATTCTATTCTATTCTATTCTATTCTATTCCATTCCAATCCATTCCATTCCATTCCAATCCATTCGTATTCACATTCTAAAAGTGACAGAAGAGAAAGACAAGGGAATTGCATGGCTTCTTTCTGAGGTGAATTGTTAAGGTTGTGGATCTGGCTTAGACGCAAGGCTTTTATAAAACTTGATGTGTCCATCTTGGCCTTGGTGATCAGTTGTTGGTTGCATTGGATTTTGGTTTTAGACCTTTGATTATGGAGGTGAGATAGAAAAATGTTTAGGGAACTACATAGTGGAGTGTATGGGGAGAATATTTACAATGCAAGAATGTGGGGACCGAGGGAGGAATTGCGGGTGAGACAAGAGGCTTACATTCTCCAGCTACTTACGGTAGATATATTTCTGAGGTTAAAAAGTAAGGAATCAGATACTTCTATTTGTGGTCTAAGTTGCTTGTTTTTCTTGGATTTTTAAAATATAATAAACCAAACAAATCAAACCTTTTTGGTGTATCTGCTTAAAACTTTACTTTTTAAAAGGTGAATAATCCCAAATGCTGATGCTAGTTGGTTAGATCCTTATGTTAAGACTTTTTACATTGTTCCTGAAGGATTTCTGTCTGACCTCTTAGAAACTAGAAAGAGGCTGGTTACTCAAAATAATTGCAAGTAGGTCTCATGTTATAACAGTTTGTTTAGCAACCATTCGAAATTACAATGGCACTGGAAAAAGTGGCTGATGGCCATTTCTCACACTTATGACCACTGCAGCATCCCTGTGGTCAGGTGATTTACATTCAAATGCTTGACAACTGACTCATATTTATGACGGTGGCAGTGTCCTGGCGTCATGATCACCTTTTGCGACCTTCTGAAAGGCAAAGTCAATGGGAAAGCCAGATTCACTTAACAACCGTGTTACTAATTTAACCACTGCAGTGATTCACTTAACAAAATGGCAAGAAAAGTTGTGAAATGGGGCAAAACTCACTGAACAAATTTCTCACTTAGCAACATAAATTTTGGTCTCAATGGTGGTTGTAAGTCAAGGATTACCTGTAATATTAAAAAAACAAGGTGGCTGGTTCCTCTTTTTAGAAATCTTCATTCCTTATTCTTTGGTGCTCTATACACAGATAAAGAGTTGGCATTCCACTGATTTATTATGTTTATTTTTAAGTCTTTTGACCAGTATAGTGTGAGAAGATATCTTTTGGCACTGACTGTATAAAGTCTTTTAGAACCAGTTTTTTGTTTGCAAGTGAATGTTTGCTTTGGGTCACTGACATGGTAAAAGCCGGTTTAACCCGGAATAGCCTGCCAGCCAGAGCATCTGTTGAAGCAAATATTATTTATAAGGCTATAGTAGAGCATCCCCTGATTCTTTGATGGAGAACCCCTTCGCATTTGTGTGTGCACAGTTGTGTTTGTGAATTTGGCGTTCTGTTGAGATTTCTCAGGTTTGGAAACTTTCTAGTGAAAATATTTTTAACCACTTAAAAGACAATTTATCTTATGAAAAAGCTCCGTATGAAAAATTGCTGCTAAATATTCAGCTCTTTCCTTCAGAGGAGCTCAGTTTTCTATCTTTTTATAAGTCGAAGGAGATGGATAATGCTAATTCTGTAATTTTATCTTGGAAGAATGATTTTCTCTTCCAGTTCAAATTGTTTTCTGGGTAAAAGGCTGGAGCTGCAGCTTTTGTTGCTTCCATTATTAATTTTAAGAGAACACTCTGCATACCTGATATGATTTCAGCTGTATATTCACAGTAGTTTTTCCTCCATTTTAAAATAATGGGGAGGAGAGATGATGAAGGATTCCTCAGATGAAGAAGCAGTTTTTCCATGAACAGGAGACAGACCTTTGCAGGCCTTTAAGAGAAAATATGAGAATGTTTCTGTGGTTTACCTGTGTTCTCTGTGACTCTCTGCTCTTCCAGAATCAATCCTGAGAAACTTTTAGATGTCCAGAAGAAACTGCAGTCCTTATTGGCTCAGGATCAAGATTTGAAAGAACGTGCACAACGGGTAAGGGCACAATGGCTAGTCCACTGATGTGTAAATGCCATGATTGTAGAATCTCATTTTTTTTAGGTATATAAGAAATATTAATCTTGAAGAAGGTTTTTGGTTTTATGGGTTATAGGAGATCTGAAAATATATGCTTATGTTCTTTGACTAAAGTAAAGATGTGTTAGAAATTAACTAATTGAAATTAATCAGCAGTTCATTTATCAAATTTATTTATTAAGGAAATTTATATACTGGCCCAAGCTCCCACATTGGAGATTCCAGACAGCTTATAACAGGGATGTCAAACTCAAGGCCCATGGGCCGGATCCAACCCATGAGATGCTTAGATCTGACCTGCGGAGCTGCCCTGGAAACAATGAAGGACCGGCCTGTGGTGCCTCTGCCAGTGAAAACGGAGTGTGGGTGGGTTGTGTGCGCCCTCCCACACACTTCTTTTCGCTGGCAGAGGGTTTCAGGAGGCTGTCCCAGCTGAAAACGGAGCTTGGGAACCAGTTTTCGCTGGCAGAGTGCTCGGGCAACAGGTGCCCCCAACACAAGAGACATCAAACTGGCCAACCTACCCTGGCCATGGCCACCCCAGCGCCCTGAGGTCAAACACAATCCTGGTGCATCCCTCAATGAAATTGAATTTGACACTCCTGGCTTATAACATTGAAAATCATTGTCAAACCTTGTTTGGGTCTATTATTTGGAACTCTGACAATCACAACATAAACATAAATCCTTTAAAAAACCAACTCTCACTATTCTTAGGCAGTTATTATCCTCAGTACTCTGAAAGGCACTATGTAAGGAAAGGCTCTAAAGAGGGAAGCTAGTAGGAAACAAGATGATGGTAGTTAGTTCAACTGGATGAAAATGTACACACCTTTCAGTTTGTTATTGTATGCAATCTTTGTTTGGGATGTCTCTTTCTTCTCTCCCTTCTGGTCTCCTGCTGTGTTCTTCAGGGTTTGAAGAACAGAATTTGCTTCTTGTCTTCTCAGGGCATGTTGATTCTGCAGAAGTCCTTTTGGTGATAATTGGGGAAGAAGGAGCATGGATGTTCAGGAGTAACAGCTCAACAAGTTATTTAGGTTTTTTCCTTCCTTTCCCTCTCGGCAAGATGTTTTCTTAGGAGGCCTTCATGTACCGTATTTTGGGGACTATAAGACGCACTGGAGTATAAGACACAACAAGGTTTCGAAGAGGAAAACAAGAAAAAATAGTTTTTGCCCTCTCCGGCCCCCAGGAGTACTCTGCAGGCCTCCCAACCCCCCCATGCATTCTGTTTTTACCTTCCCCAGCCCCCAGGAGCACTCTGTAGGTCTCCCAAGCCCTCTGCGCGCCCTGTTTTTGTGAAAAACGGGCTAGTTTTTGCAAAAAAAAAAAAGGTCTATTTTTTGTCTTCAAAACCCCCCACACATCCCATTGTTGCTTTCCCCAGCCCCCAGGAGCACTCTGCCGGCCTCCCAAACCCTCTGAGCACCCCATTTCTGTGAAAAACGGGCCCATTTTTGGCAAAAACGGGACGCATGGGGCGGAGTTTCAAGAGGCCAAAAATAGCAGTATTTGGTGTATAAGAAGCGCCAACATTTCCACCCTTTTGGGAGGAAAGTTCGTCTCATACTCCGAAAAGTATGGTGATTCAGGCATATACAGTTTCTTATGAAAGTAACAGAAACGTGGTACTGTAGACTTACGGTAGCATCGTACTTGAGAGTTCTGAGCATTGAGCCTGGCAACAGCGAGACAGTTGCTTCTTTCCATACTGGCCAGGGAGGCAGATGGCTGTCTGCCAGACAATAATTGTCTGCTGACCATAGTGCTCTTTTATTTAAATTTTTATAAATTTGTTTTCAAACTGATCTCTCAAGCTGTTACATTATTATGGCAGGCATTTAAAACAAAAACAGGGTGATATTTAATCTCAGCAATGGGCCATTAGTGAAACAACAATGCAACTGCTAATGTGTGTTGCTTAAATAATATGCATGGCATGGGACGGTCTCTCTCCAGTTATATCTACCCATTGTATGAGATCCAACAGGCGAGGTATGCTCTGGGTCCCATCTGCTAGGTTAGAGAATGTCACCTGGCAGGTAGTCAGAGAACAACCTTTTCTTGTAGGGGCATCGTCTGGGATGGTGATCTTATGGCAAACGTACCAGAGGTAGCATGCAGTTCCCTTTCTGATGGCATGTGAGCCATCGCCCCAGTTCAGCTCATGCAGGGAGGGACGGGTATGTGTGCACATGTGTGTGTGGGTCATGCATGCATGCACGGAGGTGCGTGGGGTAGGGTCGCACACACATGCGTGGGGCGGGGCGCATGCATAGGGGAGACATTGTACTTTGAGAGTTTGGGTGTGCGCATGTGGCACTTGGTCTGGAAAAGGTTAGCCATCATTAGTCTGGGGCATCATTTCCCTGAAGAATAGGTCAGACTCTACTAGCTTTAAAAATGTGGCTTGTTGCTGAGATCATGGGATCCGATCATGCTATTGAACCTGAATCTTGGTTTTATTGATGTTGTTGGTTAGTTTTTTCCCTTAGCTTCTACATTTGTTATTTATAATGGTTTGTGATGATTTTATTTTTTATTACCTCCCACAGTCAAATGTTCGAGATGACTGGCCAAATAAATTGAATATATAAAACAAATAAATCATTTGTTTAAAATAAACGTAATTTTCATTGAGGAGGTATAATGGCAATTGGAAATGGTAAAGAGATGTAGCCAATGATGAAACACAACTTAGCCCACAGCAGGATTGTGGATGAGGTGAGCAGTTCAGAAGAGACCTTCCCTAGTTTCTTGAGCTGCAAGAAGGGACAGGAGGAGATACTTTCAGACTTGTTTGATTCTCTTAATGTAACCTTACAATAAAGTAGAATTAGTTTATCAGGGACTCAGTGGCTAAGACACTGAGCTTGTCGATCAGAAAGGTCGGCAGTTCGGCGGTTCGAATCCCTTACGTCTCGTAATGGAGTGAGCTCCCATTACTTGTCCCAGCTTCTGCCAACCTAGCAATTAGAAAGCATGTAAAAAATGCAAGCAGAAAAATAGGAACCACCTATGGTTGGAAGATAACAGCATTCTGCGCGCCTTCGGCATTTAGTCATACCGGTCACATGACCACGGATACTTCTTCAGACAGTGCTGGCTCTTCGGCTTTGAAATGGAGATGAGCACCACCCCCTAGAGTCAGGAACGACTAGCACATATGTGTGAGGGGAACCTTTATCTCTTCCTTTAGTCCATCAGGCTATGTTTTCTGTTGGGTCTTTCTTATAAGGCTGACAGGAAGTGAACTGTGCCTTCCTTGGGAGATGATTGGGATCACTAAGAAGCAGACTTTGTTTCTGCTTGCTGCAATACCAGATGTTCTGTTGCTCTCAACTTGAATTTGAACATAAATGTGAGGATGAAGGATTGATCAGATTCATGATGAAGGGAAGGACTGCATTGCATTCACTGGCTATGCCACCCCCCTGAAAAAAGCCTTTATGCATGAAGAGAGGAGGAAGTAGCATAGAACTCTTATATTTTTGCGCAATATAGCAACAGCAGCAATCATTTTTGTGACCTTGCTCTCCCTATTGTGCTTTTCTCATTGAGTTGCTGAGTTGGCTTATTCAAATCTTTTAACTCAGGTTGTTAGTTGCCATAAAAACTTTATAGAGCAGCTGGTAGTGCTGAAATAATTGTTACCCCTGTAAATAGTCTGGCGGCCACCTGAATTTCCTGTTGATTTGGCTATCTCATATAAAGAGAACATTTTTTTTTTTTACATATCTAGGGACATTTTCATATACAACATTTTTAAAATTAAAAGCAAAAAATATTTTTGTCCCTTGAAAAGAATGTATGAACTGATTGAAAAGAAAGTGCAGTAGGTGTCCAGAGGTGATTACATAGAGGAAAAATTGGTCTTCTTGAGCTCGGGAGCTTAGAAAAAAATTATTAAGTTTTGGAAAATGTATGTTACAAGATTTAAAAAAAAAACACTTCCTGAGATACGTAAAATTATTTAAGAATTAAAAGGACATTTTTTCTTTTTCTTTTCACTCACTCTACCTTTTACCAATAAATATTCACATCTTAGGCATAGCATGTGACA